CAATTATTACAAGACTGCTTATAAAAATTTCGAATAAATGGCAAGTTATATTTTAATATAATAAAATGTATATAAAATAATATATGATTACAAAGGTGAATTAAAGTATGACAGCAAATAAATAATATACGTAATGTTTTAAAATACGTTACCTGTTTCGGTTTAAAAAAGGTTAGAACTCACAAATTTATCGTGTAATAAACTCACTATCAAACTATAAATTAGGTACATGTAAGTAGCAATTTAGTAGTACGCATCTAATAGTGGTATTCAATGTTTTACACTAAGTTTTTAGTCATTATCAGGTATAAATTACTTCAAACTGGGCCGCTGCTTTTGAGATTTGCACTTTTATTATACATTCTTTTATAAATAAAACGAAAATAGATTAGTTGGTGATTTTTTTCGAATAATGGAAATAAGTATTATATAATAAGCGTTGTGCCTCTTGCAACAAATATAACGAGATTAAAGGTCGAGGACATCAAAAATAAAATATTTAAATTTACGTATTAGTGCCTTTTATTTTTTTGAAATTGCCGCTGTGTTTAATACCGGAAATCAACTCCATCAAAATGTGATAGGTTTTGTGTATGTTCAGATTTCGGATTTTGTTAACAGTGATTTCTTTTAAATTTGTTGATGTACAACATGGTCTAATATGAAGAAGATAAGGAGCAAAATTTAAATTTGTTGTTTTCGAAGTGACAATCAATTTCATTTTAGTGGCTTCTCAATTGACAAATATCGAGTTATAAACATAACCTATAAATTGATTTAATGGTGTTATTAACTCCAGTAAACAAGGGCTAGCTAAAGCGTTTAGTGTAACAGACATAAAATTGTATAAGATTTGTAAGAACCGCAAATTCTAAACGATTGTTTTAATTATTATTATAAGTAGCTAGAGACTAGCAGTGTAGTGTATTATATAGTGGTACTGATGTGATTCTCCAACTACTAATCAAAGAGATAACCATAAATGGACAGTAAAATAAATCAAATCGTTTAACTATTTAAAATGAAGTCTAATGGTAATGCATTAAATTTTATTGTTATAAATTTTGTACAATGCTAATCCTTCTCGAATCCGAACATGACCAAAACATAGATCGAATTTATACGAAGATGTCCGAAGGTTGTTCTGGCCGAAATATTAATCCGATAGTATCTGATGTTGAAAATTTACATTTTATTAATAATATAGGAGCCAGCGATAAAGAAATTGACTTAAATAGTAGTTATGATCATGGATATGCATCAAATTCTGGGACCGTTCTGCCCAACCTTTCAAGTTCAAACTGTCAAAACGCCGAAAGTGAGGTTAAATTTTTAAGAGAATGGTTGTTGTTGCACTTGGATTTAATTCAACAGCAAAATGACGAAATTCTAAGCAAGGAAAAGACAATTTCAATGCTTAAACAAGAAAATGAAATGGTATGTTTTATTTGAAGAATAAAACATTGTAATTAATTAACGTCATTTTAGCTTAAAGAACGCCTAAACAGCTTTCAAAAAGGGATCTCCTCCCATTCTCAAAGAACAACAGAGTCTAATTTGGATAAGTTTATTACGAATACTGACTTTAAGATAACGGAAGTTTCCCATATTGTTAGGGAAGAAAAAGAGGAAATTCCCTTACTTTCGCTCTCTACTGAAACAAATTCTATAACTGTAGAAAAGGCTGATTATCCCGAAGATCATAAACCTGAAGAAAATTCTTCATCTAATGTGAACTCATGTACCACTTACTACAATTGTAAGTTCACATCAACTTAATATTTTTTTCTCCTTGCCATTTTCATTTTATCTTTCATAAAAAGAATTGTAACTTACTCAGGAATAGAAGAAATGTAAATATATTTTGACAATGTATAATTCTCCTCAGTCAATTGCATTACTTTTTTTTAGTGCCAGTAAATAACAGTGATAGCACTCAAGTTGATGAAAAAGCACAAAAAGACAACTTCAACAGCTCTGATTGTAGTGCCCTATTAAATAATTTAACAGAAAATAATAAGTGTACAGATAACATACCAGCAGCCACCTCAGTTGATGTTTCACTAAAGAACATACGAATGAGTATCCGAAGGAAAAGATTATGTAGCAACTC